ATTCTACGAAGGCAATAATAAAGCTGTTCCATCTGATCCCAAAATAGTTGGGAGGGATTATTCGCGCCTACACCTATGTATTTAAACAATTTTGTTTACTAGTATGATTATTAGCCGTTGCTATAGATTTTCGCTGTAGTTTTGTTAGGTAATTAATGCGGCAAAAATGTGTATCATTAGCTTCGGGAAGGCCTTGTGCAGTGCTGCAGGTGGCACCGGGAAGCTGCACTTATGAAATCTTGGCCTTGCGTCCGTCGCCCGGTCGTGTAGGCCAGCGCCGTAACTCGAACAACCGCTAGAGGAGACACCACGTTTTCGAGGAGATAGATATGTCAGAAATTTATCGTGTGTAATTCACGACTTTCCAGCAGCTTCAAGATTTGTGCCGTCAGCTTCAGGTTTACCGTAGGGAAAAAAAAAAATGAAAAAGATAAATTTTAGTCTAGAGGAAGTAATTGACCGTACCGTTGGCTACCAGGTGATCGATTTTATGATTGGCCTACGCTTCTGTCTTGAAATTTTTCCTATCCGGCTTGTAAGAAAGGTGTATATATATCTCGGATTGTTTCAAAAATTCCTTTCTTTTTTGATTGGTGCCTTCATTGTCCCTCTGTATTTCATTAATTCCACCCGTGCCCGCGTTTTCCGGATCGTCGTAGACAGTTACTGATTTTACGATGGTTTTCGTCATTGGGGGCAGGGAAAATGGCCCGCGTGAGTGCCTATTGATAAACTTGGGGACTCATTGGAAACCCGGCTCATTTACTCCGGACCTATTTTATTTCTACAACATGGATATCAAGGAGGAAGTGGGAACATAGGAATGACGATACACCTTCTATCATTATCGATGAGACTCCAGTGGAAGAAGAAGAAGGGGAGGACTTGCTGCGGGAAGAAGACCCTGCCACAGAAAAACTCAAGGTCCAGAAGAAGACGGATGAAATATATTTGGATACACTGCGAGATAGGGCTGAGAACCTACAGCACCTTGCAACCACAGCGCAGGCAAAGGTAAGAACAAATTTGAAAAATAATACTCGTTAGGCTGATGCGGCTGCAACAACCTATCGCCTAGAAAAAATTCGACTCGAACACTGCCAACGAAGGGTGGTAGAAAAGATCAAAGTTGGTTTTGAAAAGGAGGTTTAGAAAATTGTGTTACAGAAAAAGTCAAGAGTCAACCAAAAGAAGGAAGCTTTGCGCCGGCTTCACCTCCGTGAAAAGTGGAAGAAGGCGCAAGCTGCCTTGGAAAAAACTAAGGACGAAGAAACAAGATGCACGAACTCTGCTTCATCCCTAAATCTGCTTAACGAATAAATTTTATAACCACCGCTGACTCACATTCCGATCAATAACGGACAAACTTTCACACCGGGGGCCTGCGTCTTGGCTTATCACCTCCCCGGCAAACGAGCGAACCGAAGCGTCTTTCAGCGACAATTTTTCGGGAAAATTTTGCATAAATTAACTTTTCTCGGTTGATAACTCGCTTCAACCTGGTTCGTTTCTCTTCAAACTCAAAATTTGGTCAAATCGGCCTAGCGCTGTGTCCCAAGAAGTGTAGTACAAAGTTGGGACACTTTGGAATCTAATGAATCTGGGACACTTTGGGCGGTGAGCGGCTCACCGGGGACCGCCAAGATTTTGATCGATAAAAATTTTCCTGGCGTAAGCAGTTCGCCATGCAAACACTTATCCTTAACTTGACAGGTACTGGTGGAGAAGGTGGAGTACCTTTCCAGGTTATGCAAAAAGAGAAACAATGCTGAAAATACAGGCTTGAGTTAAATCTGTTTGTCATCCTGCGCATGAGAAATTGCAGCAACGGAGGTTTTCAGGGTCGTTTTCGCCAAGTGTAGATCGATCGTGTGCTACCCATCAGCTTACCTAAAGATTGCTTCACGCATTATACCAGTCTGCACTGACACGGGGAAAATCCGACGGGCGTGCCCCATCACCCACCAGCCGGTCAATATTTTTTAGATAACGTAAACGACAAGCCGGACTGCTGCAAACAAGACAATCCTGTTGCTTTTGTGCTTTCAGCAAACTTTTGCAGCCTTTTTTAGGGTTTAAATGATCTGAACAGCTTTTCAGTAATTTATTTAATTTCATTTGTTTGTTATCATATACTTAGGTGGGAACCAATTTTCTCGGCCCTGTTTAGCATAAAAAAACCCCCGAGAAACACAAGTCCTTTTGTGTTTTTACCAATTTTTAGAAGCACAATTATGGGAATTACATCAAACCATGAAGAAAATTTTTTGAAGCCAAAGGCAGATCCAAAATAACAAGACGTTTCAGAGAAATGGCAGTTGCAAAGTTCCCACCCTGCCTTTTGCCACGAACCGCCGTCTGCACTTTGGATATGGGACGACAGGGTGTCTATATTGTTTCTGGTAATATATACTTTTAAATTGATATATCTTAACGCATATAGGTGTCGGCCATTTTATCGAGTTTCATAAAGCCGAGGACGACGGGGCTCTGCCGCCGCACGTCTCGCGCCAAAACTTGGTGAAGATTTTTGATGATGGGTGCGAGGTCAGGCAGATCCTTGCGGTCGGCAAGAAATCCGGTAACGCACTACCAATGAATTTTGTATGCCTTTAGACCCGATATTGGTCGTCGTCTCGCGTCATTTGAAGTATGTCGTGCTTCGTAAACTACAGCTGTTTATTGACAACCTAGGAGGGTAGGTGGAGTATGAAAGCCGTGGAGTTGGAGGGGTAAAAGCTCAAGAATCGATTTTTAGTGGCCATCCAGTGATTCCTTGCACGGAAGTTGTCGATTGGGTGCCGGCTTTGGCGGGATACTATGATCCACCAGTCAATGCACGCTTCGAAGTTGCTGGTGATCAGCTGCTGGTTAGTCTTTTGTACAAAATTATAAATCGGTATTTCCTGAAATTCCGCATTATAAGATGTCATTTACACATGCAAAAAAACAAATAAGAAGGTCCAAAAGGCCATGATAAACAAAATAGAGATTTTCAAAGTGATCTAACGTAATATCAGCTCAGCGGCCCTGCGACCTTCTGCATCAAAAAATTTCTTGACGCTACTTATGAGCTTGTTCTGACGGCGGCAGCAAAATTACCACAGCAATCGTAGGTCTCTTATATATTTGCTGAATCGGTACATCTAGTAAATCATCAAAGCGAAGTGTGGCTTGCTCAGACCATACAGCGTTCGCCTATTATATTGAAGGCACGGAGGAAGTGGTTGTTTATAGGTCGCCCCAAGAGTCCACGCCGAAAATCTTTCCCTGGAAGCCGGTTCGAAATTTTGCGCATTAAACCATGCACGTTTAGCCAAAAAATACTTTGGTTGATGGTTGGGACATGATACTTTGTCAGGACCAGTTATTGCTGGCCACAATGGAAACCCTTGTATATATTAATGTGAAAAACGGAAAGGTGGGCTTGGCATTCTTCGAAATTTTCTATGGGTGAGAGCCGTAAAGCCAAGCCTAAAACCTGGCTGCTGAATTTCCGCTAAACGGCTACAGGAAAAAAATATTTTACGGATGTGCGAAGCAAAAATCTACGATGCGGAGGGCGATGCTCGAACACCGAATCGTCATCTCAGCTACGCCACCAAAAATGATTTGCTTAACGCAGGATACTACGTCAGTGTAAATGGTAATGCGAGAATCAGGATGGTTTTTTATTTCTTTTAGATACCGTCCTGCATTACGTCGTGAAATCTGATAAATTAATTCTGGCGCGGATGCTGACACCAGCGGTCGGGCGCATCCACTCCATGGAGTGTCGATCACACATTACTAAGGTTTCATCATGATTCAACTTTTCAAAGATGTGCTTTTAAGCCAATTGGCGGTACTTATGGGGGATTGGGCTTAATAAAGCCAAGCAAACATCGTGTTGACGATATGTTCGGATATGAGCTGGTGAATCCGGCAAAAGCAAAATTTGATGTAAGTACCCCGGCTGGAGAACCTGGCTTATCTTGCGAGAAACACGAAACAAAGACTTTAAGAACAAAAACCGTTTTCAGTTACTGGTCCAAGACCTCCCACCCCCGTGCCCGTTTACCGGGTAAATTTTAATACTCGGATCTCCCTTGTACTCGGCTTTTAGCTACTCTTCCATTTTTGCTAATTTGATTTTAGCTTTATGGAAGGTGCCGACACATTTGTCGCCGCTGTGAGTCGGCACAAGCCTCTGAGCGCCGAGCGGGTGCTCCATTATAATCCGCTACAGCGCAGTTTCGTGTATTTGTTGAGATTAGGAGTGCTGCATATCGGGGCGCTACTCCCAAAACTGGTGCCAGACAATGAATTACGTGAGTTTTGCTCTGTATCCAAAGGATCTTTAGCTGTAACGTTTAGCCTACAGCTTAGAGCCCATAGATGATCCCGCTATAGTTTACGAACCCGGTTGGACGTATAGCATGCCGGCCGTGCACTATTTCGACGAGGTGAAACCGGTGTAAGTACCCAGTAACAAAAGAAAAAACTCACCTCTCACAAGCTGACAGCATTTCAAAATCGGTCCCGCTATTGTATTGCTTAGTTTGCTAAAAGACGCCCTTTGAGGAGAGACCATTTTATTTTTACCATTTCAACCTTGGTTCCATTTTTAAAGTATCCCGATCTTAAAGTTACACTAAAATCTCGTGCAAAAATTGAGGTCGCGTTTGGAAATTCGAGCCCTTTGTCGCGGATGGACCGAAGCCTTTTTATCCCCTGTCCCTCTCCCTCCCCCGTCCCTCTCATGGCCGAGTGGTCTAAAGCGCTTGCCCCTGGCGAGTGTCGCGGATTCGGTTTTGCTCCGCTGCGAGCGCCTACCGTAACCCTGTTTGCTATCCCGCGGACGGTTACCGGCCGGTAACCAACCCAACGAGACTTTAGTGTACCTTTAAAGGGATACCCAAGGTTTGGCGGCAAATATATAGTTATGGATTCCGGGCAGTACAAATCACGTGCGAGTTTTGTGCGTAACTGGCTGCCCATTTCCGCATAGAATTCGGACACCGTCCCCACTTGTGGGGTCCCGATGCCATCCAATGGCTTGCCACTATGGCCTAATAGTATCCACGCCTACAAAACTTGGGTCCCGGGTTCGACCCTCGCCCGCGGCACGTTTTTTGCTTTTTGAACCCCTAAAAGGTTGGGCATCCCTTTAAGTGTCGGCCTGCCGAACATTTCCCCTCATCAAACCCATGATGCTCTCTACAAGTACCCATCAATCTTCGCCAGACGACACGACGTCTCTGGATATGTATTAAAGGTAGCACGTTTTGACCACGTACTAGACGAGGGCAATATCTTTTAGCATTGGGACCTGATCCCGAATCAAGCCCTTGAAACGCAAATCCGCCTCCCCACAACCACCATCGTAAAACGAAAACATGAGAATGACCACGTGGTCCGATTGATAAAGGCCGGAACTCGAACCACGGAAACTGTACAGTGCGTCCTGGTTGCTTGGGGGTATGTTCCTACAAAGGCATTGGTATCGGATCGTTTAGCCATGGCATTTTCTGTTGGGAACTTGGTGGAAAGAAAAAGGTCGATTTCATACGAACGCTGACATTCTGCGGCCGCGAAACGAGCCATAGGTGAGAATGTGTCCACGTAAAAACTGCAACAAGTGAAACACAACACATGGCGTTGCCGTCTGTTGAGTTTCAAAGTGGCCTAAGGAGCATGAGCTTGCCTTGCAGTTCGCCTATCAAATAAACAACAAAAGTTTTTATGGTAAAACGGCAGACGTGTAACGTAAAATTAGGACGAAAAAATCGTTGGCGAAATCCCAAAGAACGGGGACTCCTACGGCATTAACCTACCGCTGCCGGCAAGCGGGGATACGGTCATAACGGCGCGCAATAGGGGCTGGCCACTAGAGTCTAGCCTTACGCTCCAGAACACGGACCTTATCGACAACCTAACTCAACTAATCTACTAATTTATGTAATGGTTGTCACCAGGGACGTAGCGTAATACCGGCCCCGGGGCCCCCCCCCGAAATCCGCCGGGGCCCGAAAATTTCATATGGGGGTCCCTTATGATTTTAATTTTCTCGAAAATTTTGCTGCCTGCGGCGCTATTTTTTCACGTTTTTACGGCTATTTGTAGAGCTATGTAACCTTTTTACAAAAATTTTTGCCTGCGGCGTTGTTTTCTCGTTCATCTTTTGAGTTTTTTGGAAAAATTTTTTGGGGCCCCCGAAATTTTTTTCTGGCTACGCCCCTGGTTGTCACTCACATAAGGTTCCAAGAAAGGAACATCACAACGGCTCGAATGTGGAGCACGCTTCTTTGGGCTTGCCTGTAAATTCTAAGGTTAAGCAAAACAAAAAACAATGAACCCAATTTGCCCACTGGTTTTTTCCTCTTGGACAATCATTATCATTTCATCATTTAGTAGACACTCCAATGTCGTGGATTTATGTTACAACCCTCTTAACCAGGTGCTGACGCTATTGCTTGGTAACGCGACCGTTGTGACATACAAATGTACCTTGACAAACAGTAAGTTTATGCCCAGAAACCATATCGAAGCGACAGGAAGTTTTAATTTCACGCCACAACGTTGGACCAAAATTGATCAGATGTTCCGTGCGGAAGCCTTCGTCCCTGCGGGGATTCATGGGAATGTGGTAGAATCGTCATCGTAACTAATTAAGCTAATTTTTAGGTATTTGGCTATGGACGTGGTCTGAATCCGTATTGCAGACGGGTTTGTAACTTCAGAGCCGGGATTCACCTTTTTTGCAGGCAATTTCTGTGGTGTTGTATGACGCCGAAAAAGAACACTTGGTGTTCGCTTCGGTCAAGGATTACCAGAGAAGCTTTGAATTCAAGGAGCGGATGTTTGGGTTGTGAGTATGCTTTTATTGAGGTTGGGGACATTGAGGACTCAAAAAAACCTTGAAAGAACAAAGCCAAATCTTCGATTGCGCTAAAGCAGAAAATGGTTTTTCCAAGCTAAAATTAACTGAAAGCACGTTTTTTAGACAACCCGCCGTTTACAATCGCCGCGCTCCCTCCCCATCGCCGAAACGCACGCGACCTGGCTCACTATGCCCAAAATCGTTCAAATAATCGTTTTGACTAACAAATTACAAAAATCGATTGTGCAAAACAGATGAAAATGAAGTTTTTAGATTCTGTTCTTAATCATTTTGGGGGTTTCTGACCACGCTTTATCCGGACTCCAAAAGACCTAACTAAGCTCTAGCTCCTTTGCCCTTGGAGTTGAATTCGGCTTCAAAAAAAATTATTATGGTTGGTAAAATTTAGAAGAGTTGCGGCGAAATCACCAGACGATTACTGTGGCGTACGCACATTCTACGGCGTAAACGAAGATTTCACCGTAAGATTTTAATAGCCATGATTTTCACTAGCAGGCTGCTTACGGCGAATTTATCCACAACACGCCCCCGCTCCAACGACCGATCATTCAACAGAAAGTCCGCAAGTTTATAGCATATCACGTCCAGGAATATGGCCTTACACTAGTGAGTTCATTTAAAATATCTTTTTAATGGATTTTTCGATTGCCGCATTGGGAAAATCGGTTGTGATCTTGTTTTACGATCCTACGACAGGTAGTGTTAGTCGTTACAGGGACAGTTTCAAGGTCTTGAAATGGTCAACACTTTCGCATGCAAGGTCACGGCAGGTGCTAAAAGTCCGGCAAAACAGTACGCGGACCGAGCAGCCAAATTCACTTTATGAATTTAGAGTTTGAATAAAAAACTAGAGACCATCAAAACTTTTCCTCATAGTACCTTGTTGGAAAAGGTCCTGGTATTAGGTATGGTCATTCCGGAACATGAGATGTCGTGATGGCAATCATCCGCGATTTCAGAATCAAATCCAGGCCATTTCAGAAACTCTGGTGAATGCTGGCCACCACACATTTGCCATGGAATACTACGACGGCGCTTTCATTAAGGTTGCTAATTGGGTTCACCTTCGACAACATGTCGCTTTCAAGCCATATATTGTGCCAGTCAATGGTAGACCTGCAATAAGGACGCTGCTCGTGCTCGTCTCGAGCGAAGGCTTCGAATGGCTGGATCTCCATATTCATGGCTCCCACTACCGAGGGAACTACTTTCCCGCAGTTGATGTCACCGCCAGAGTTACGTGGGCAGAGATTTACCCTTCCGACCATCTCGAAGACCGCCAGATTTGTGCAGGATACATGGTAGCCAAAACAATAATTCGAGGACGCGTGTTGTATAATGGCATCCAGGAACGCGTGGCTTGCTGGTGCGAAAAAATTCAGCAAGACGGACAAACGGACTACTATCTCGGGTGAGCATGTTGCAGTACAGTGTGTGGGTCAAAAAGATAGAGCCACCTCCTTGAACGCTATTATCTCGGCCCTCGTTGAGTTTGACGCCAAGCTAACTAGCAGGTCTTGTAGCGCTCGCAAGGCGCATTTTTCCATCTACTTGAAGTTTTTCAACAATATAGCACGCGATTTTCATTTCACACGAGAGTGGAATTTTCTACTTTTCTATCGGAAATCGAAAGACGTATGCAGAGTGAAGAATCTGATGTTGGATTTGGTTTTCAGGGTTGAAAAGTCGCGATGCGGCTTTTCAACCCCTGGTTACATGCTACAATTGCTACGAAGTTCAAATCTATGCAGATTGGCATCACCGTGAAAAACCCGGAAGTCAGAAATCGGAAGTCACTTTGAATGTTCATTAGAATGTAATTTGCAAGCTCAAACTGATGCTGATGATATGGGTGTGGCTCTATCGTTTTGACACTTCTGTTTTTTGGCTCTATTTGTTCTTTTCCTTATAAAATCGGGTGTGCTAGATTTTTGAAAAACTTAAGTAGATGGAAAATGGGCGCATTTCGGAATAGGGGACCCACTTTGATTACTCTAAAAACCACTTTTTCTGGTGTAATTTTGTGCGCTTGTGCTGAAAAAACGGTATCCCAGCCTGGAAAACGCACATTTGTACAAAATATTTATCTTTATAGGATGTTTACATGACAGCACGGGCGGTCTTGGCTTAGCCAGCACAATTGTGAGGCAAACCTGCTTGGGTTATTATATTTTTCGGTTGAGTTTGACTTCTGTCAGATTCATCTGGCTGGCCTAGGCTTGGTCTCAACGAATCTTAAGATCGGGTTTACTAGCATTTAGCATCATTTATGCATGCGTTTTCGAGCTTGAAAAACCGCTAGGAGTGTGCGGGAGAATGACAGTTGGGCCTGCGCCGCTGTGGCTCCCAGAAGCCCATTAAACTGCAATCAATTTTTTGGGGGAAAATGCTTAGGTTTAAAGTTAGTATGGTGTTTTCGAACCAGCGCACAAAACTATCCAAGAAAAGCATCGCACAAACCCCAGTTTTGGTACAATAAATGTGCAGGTCCCCCTATTCCGAAATAGCGCCGAAAATGCGCCTTTTCGAGCGCCACAAGATCTGCTAGTTAGCTTGGCGTCAAACTCCACGAGGACCGAGATAATAGCGTTCAAAGAGAGTGGCTCTATCGTTTTAACTCACACTGTATAGTGGCGCACCCATTCGCTGCAGAGAAGGCATCATCAGTCGCTTTCCACACAGATAGTGTTTTCCAGCGTCATCATCTTCGCGTTCGAAAAGGAGAGTTCGAAGCATCAAGAACATGCACGATAACAAAATATCTTTGCCCGGCAATCACAAGCATGCTAGGACCCAGGTAATGACTTCTAACCGCTCCCGATATACAGTGTATCATAATGATAGGGATCCGGTGCCGTTTTCGTGGTTTTTGGAGGTGAAAGTCGCGAATAAAAATACATAGTAAAGAAAATGATGCCTCCTTATTTCCTCGTCTTGAAAACAGCTTTCGATAGATACCTAAATCGTAAAAAATCGGACACGACACGCAGGACCGCCAGGTAGGGGAGGGGGATTTTTGGAGACACCCTGTGGTCGGGCCCAAATGTCGGTTAGGGTGTAACTAACTTTGGGTCACTGGGCAAAGTGTCAAGCGCATTGCAGATCCAATTTGATTGTGGGATACTACCGGCACTGGGAATTTTCCAGGAATGCCGAGATCCGGTGACCAACGAGCGGCAACAGGTAACATAGATTAGACTTACAATTAGGCTAGCCAATGCAACACATTCAGTTCGCTGCATGGTGGGACTTATCTGACGATGGCCGGTCGTTGTTCGGGAAAGCTAGCTGGGTGACGTCCGAAATGTATTTTCGAGGCGAACGCTCAGGTTGACTCATTTTCAGGACACCAGCAAAATATTTGTAGGCTAAAGATGTCACAACGCACTTTAATATCTGGCTGCTTTCCCAGGTCTGCCCACTTCCCTCTGGGTCAGCTGCCAGAGATGGTAAAATTAGATCCGCACGGGCCACGGTTATTCGTCATTCTTTTTTCAGTCAACGCTCATTTCCTCTATCAACGTCCAGCTGAATACTGTTGGGTGTCACTGCGTAATCCTAATGTTTTTGACGACGACCACGAGGCTAGTCGCATGTTGCAGATATTCGAGGCGCCTTTCCACTCTGACAAAAGAACATTCACCTTGCATGAGCGCCTGGGCCTTAAGGAAATCATTACGCTTTTCGAGTAGGTTTTCAATTTTTCAGCCAAGAAGCTTTCGTTCTGCAATGGTATTTCATGACGGTTTAGTTTCAACCCAGAGCCTTTGTCTTTAGTGACCACGGGATGGCCTATGGTACAGACGGCTTCCACATAATGCGTGCGTGCTCCTGTTACAGACCAAAGAAGTAGGAAGATCTCGGAGTTTTCTGTTATAATTTGTTTTTGTCTTTCTTGGTTATCGTTTTGCGATAAAGCATTGTATCTGTTATTTTGCTCTCACACAAAGCATTCCGCATTGAAGCTAATGAACTTTAGGCCGGCCTTATCTGAAAACTTATCTTTTTCTGAGTAAAGCCCGCTATCTAACCCTTCCGAAATATTTTTCTGGTAATTTTGATGAGACATTCAAGTTAGGGTCTTTTTGCTATGTAGTTTACTAAAATACGTTCTAATTTTCCATTTATCGTCATTCAGCAATTTTGAAAACATTGTCGGAATCAGCGTAAAATGCTGCATCAGATAGGCTTGGTCTTATCTCAAAGTACCTTGTTCTCTTCGCCAAGCAGTTCAGTGTCGTTTGATGACTGCCCAAGCACCCGATTTATTACGAAGGGACAGAGGTACATACTACACGCGATGGCAAACAGAATGATGGACAAATTTAGATTTACAAAAAAAGACAGCGAGGCATAGAGGAGGGGCGGGGCTTATAGAAGGGCTTTTTTGTGATGCATCGAGTGGTTTCAGTGGTAGAAGACCGATGGCGATGCCCATCGTTGGATCGAGTAGTTGGAGACGAGTAGTCGGATGCTTCTGAAAAATAGATGACATTCCTGATAGTATCGCAAAGCACTTACACCTTCCGCCAGTGCTTGCAGTGCTAGCCTCCGATGGGCCCTCCTCGGCGTTGCTGATCGGCACCACATCGAGGTCGACGACCGCCGTGCCAACGCCGACGTTCATCTACAAAACATATACTGTATTACCACTAATAGAACCCCGGGGGTTCTATTTTTCAATCACCTCAGGATGTATTAGTGGGCAGGATTTTATGATCATTTGTGATTTTGAGCAATTACAACGATCTCTAGCAGTGCAAACAGCTCACAACCACTCAGGAAAGCAGTACGAGGCTTAAAAATAAACGTTTTTTGCGTTTTTTGCTTCTTAAAGGTAACTTCGTTTGGTGGGCTGGAGTTTTTGACAAAAAAGCGTGTCCTTTCGCATAAAAAATGGCGAAAATCGAGCAAAACGTTTCGGAATTTTGGAAAATCAGCGAGACGAAGAGAGAAAAAGACCGGCGTTTCCGACAAATTTCGATGGATACCTAAATCGCAAAAACGGAAGCATAGGGAGCTAGGGCAGGGTATTTTCTTGAGACAACCTGTACAGCAAAACGACTTATCGACCCACCATGTCATCGACAATCGGCTTGCTTCCCTTCGGGCCATTGTCTTTCTTCTTCAGACAGAAGCACAGCACGACGATGATCACGATGATGAACACCAAGAGACCGCCACCCAAGGCTAAACAAAAAAAACGCGTTGAACAAGTACCGCCAACCATTTTACCTGCAATCAAAATGACCTCATCCCCCAGGCCGTCTTTCGGTTTCTCGGTCGTTGTCTTTGCCGTAGTCTTTGCCGTTGTCGTCGTAGAGGCTTTTGTGGTGCTCGTTGTCTGGACCGAGCCGACGCAGTGGAACTGAAGGACGTGTTTATCTATATGCAGCGCTAAGCCTAAGCCCCTAGGCCTACGCCTAAGCTAAGCCTAAGCTAAGTCTAAGCCAAGCATAAGCTAAGCCTAAGCTAAACCTAAGCCTAGGCCTAGACGTAAGCCTAAGCGCGAGCGTAAGCCCAAGCGTAAGCCTGAGTCTAAGCCGCCGCCAAGCCTATGGCCAAGCCTAGGGTTAAGCCAAGCCTAAGCTCGAGCCTAAGTCAGGCCTGAGCCTAAACCCAAACCTAATCGCAAGCCTAAGCCTAATTCTGAGCCTAAGCTTAAGCTAAGTTATCCCCAGGTCTCACACCTCCTTCCTCTCCTCTTCCGTCAAAGCACTGCACTGCTTGTAGACGACGCATGGGATACCGGCAACATCATTCTTGTAGTAGAGCAGATTCTTGCGCCAATCCCTGGTATCCGGCTGAAATGCGGCAATTGCCTCTTAGTAGATGATCATGTCCTAGTGGATGGCACCCAGAAAACCCACAGCACGCCCGTCGACATTTCCTCGACACTGCGGGATCGGATTGCACGGTGGGTTGAGTGACCAAGGGTCTCGGCGACGCGACTTCTCCACGTCGCACCAATCCAGCTTCTCCTGTAAAGAGTATTTTAAAGACTCAGAAGCGATATCTACCGTAATGCTCAGGACACCGAAATAGTCTTTTTCCGGATTGCTAGGGATGGGTCGACAATCCGGTTTCTCCGTCAATCCACGGCCATTTTCGTTTCTTGGACAAATATCCATGCAGTTCAGCAGGTCTCCGTTTTCGCTGACCGGTCGCAGGTATTTTTGTCTGAGAAAAGAGCGGGTATTGGGGTTCTTGCGCATTATCGGGGGAGGTGGGGTTTGTGTAAGTCTAGATGGCCTAGTAGGTCCATGCCTCAGCCTAACTGCGGCCGAATCCTGAGCCAAACCGAATCCTAAGCCTAGGCCTAAGCCTAAGCCTAAGCCTAAGCCCAAGCCTAATTAATCGAAACCAGGGTTGAAAAGCCGCTTCGCGACTTTTCGACCCTGGCCCCGTCTGGGCCCTATGAAAGTTTACACTTTGCCTAATTCCCCCGCATCCCACGAACAAAAAAATGAGAAGAATGGCTCTCTCCTCATTTATATAGCCTAGCCCCACTTCCGGCGTATGCTAATTAATTCCTAACAAAAAGGTCGGGCGAGATTTTCACAAAAACCTAATTTTAATATCGAAAACAGCTTATTTTCAAAAATCTAATAGGTGTGCAGTCGTGCCATGACCATTACGCACCTAATGACATATCGTACATACCCCTCACTACTTCCTATATCGAGATACGACTGGAACATACGGACGGAAGTTGCATGCAAATGCACACACACACACACACACAGACACTATTTTTTTATATATAGTAGGATTATTTTAATAACGTTTTATTACAATAAAACTATATTTTAGCTAGAAAAGCCATCAAAAACTCTCCAAAATTTTTAAAAAAAAATCGTGGGCGAAAAATCGATTAGGTAAGGAAAAAATTTTGTCCCCTTTCCCCCGATAATGCGAAAGAACCGATAATGGGTGTACTGTGCAGCAGACTCACTCATCAAATTCTCCCGGCTGGTCCAGCTTGCAGAACGGCAGTATCATACATCCCCAGCTCGCCACATTCTTTGGCTCAAACGGATTGGAGTGAGGTTCGGTGCACCACTGAAAAAGGCAGGATACTTCGGGGGTGGGAAAACGCCAAAATCCCGACAGCCAAAATAGCGATTGCCTTAATCTCGACAGCCAAAATCCCGACAGCCAGTAACCCCAGATTTTGAAACCATTCCTGGGTAAAACGACCGAAAATATCACATTTTGGCTGTAGGGATTTTGACTCTCGGGATTTTAGCTGTCCGGATTTTGCCTGTCGGGATTTTGGCTCGAATTTTTCGGGGAGGACTTGGCATCTCATCATATCTCAAAAAAAAAACGGTACTCACCGGCTTGTACCTGCCTTGCCCAAGAATGTAGGTCTTCAGCGGGCGCGGGTAGCAGATGCGGGCCAATGAGTCGTTGGCCAGGATTTCACTTAAAGGGATGGTGAGTAGTGGCAGGGTCGCAGCACGTGGATTGTAATGATACCTGGGAAAGGCATTCTGCTCGTCGCACCAAGTCCCTTCGTAACACCCAAAACGGAGCTTCATCGACGCCAAGGCCAGTTCTTGCGCAGTCTAAAACCAAAGCTCTAGCAGGAAAGATGACTGCAAACCAATTTGTCAAAGTCTTCCCGGCTGCACTTGGGGTTGTAGGCGGGGTTGATCGGATAGTAGATGAACACGTTCGCATCTTCGTCTCGCTTTGTGCGCTGCCGAAGCCGGATGCGCTTGATCGGCGCTCTAGCAGCATCGGCATCACGATGAACGCGCTGCAATGTAATCGTCAAGAGTGTCTCGCGTAACGCTGTTCGACTAAAATTGGTTTTCCACAGAAAACGAACCTTCTCTGGCATATAGGCAGGCCCTGTGACGTCCATCCACATCTGGAAGCAGGGTAAGAGTCTGGGAAACCCTCTTCTCTTTTTATAGTAATTCGACAATGCCAAAGATTTTGAGATACTTCGCGCATCAAAGGACGTATGGCCGAAAAGTTGCGGTTGGGCGGGGGGTTCCTAAACTTTATCCGAAAGCAACCCTGTCAAAAAGAGTTGCAATTATTCCAATCCTTGCCACATCTTTTACGAACTCCCCGGAAAGAAATCTGGAAAAAATCTGTACCCCCCCCCCCCCACACCGACAAAATTCCCCTTCGATAAAGCCAAAGAAGCTTTTGTAAAATTTAATTTGTGCTTAGGGGACCCTGGAAGTCTTGCCCTAGTCACCTGCGCAAAACAGCTTTCCTTACCCATTCGGGATCACCCGCGATTTGGTGCGGATAGGTGGTCCAGAGATGATGATACCGACAGCGCGAATCCTTGGACATATAGGGGTTGAGTTTCTGGAAAACGCAAGACACCGTCAATTGGAGAACATCATTTGCGCCACAATAACCGGAAAAGGCCGCAGTAGATTACCGTGTTAACGATGCACTTGATCTGACAGGAGGGATGAGCGCTATTTTCAGGCCTCCGGCACCCGTGGCAGTCCTGATGGTCTTGCCATTCGGGACTAGCACAGTTCATGCAGTACGGATCCGGCTCCTCACACTGAAAATCTGATTTATCTAAAACTAGCAAATTGGTCGAACTACCCCTGCGCTTGTTTAAGGAATATAATATGCTGGCATACGTTTTCCTGTTTCTATAGTTTTTTTTTAGAAAATCCAAAAAGTGTCGGTCAACGTACTTTCGGACCGTCCCTGTACAATGCTCGATTTTTTGCACTTCAAAAACGTCAAAACAACATTGGCGCAACCGGCATAAGACCGGCTATGCCGGATCGAGCAGCTCTAGGAGCCTCGGCGATCAGAATAGCTTACTGGGCAATCCTCGACGACGATCCCTGCGCATTTTGGACAGCGACCCGTCCGCAGGTTCGCGTGATTCAGAGCAGCCCAGCGCAAGTTGCAGTTGACGCACATGTCGGTATTATTAGCGGTTGGCGTGCACTGAAAATCAATATTTCGGGCAGTCGGTGAATAAACGGTACACATAGGATAACGGGGGGGTCTCTCTCAAAATACTTTTATAACCAGGGTTGAAAAGCCGCTTCGCGGCCATTTATCCTGTACCCGGGAGGGGGAGCGGTGCTTCCGTGTTAACTGGGGAGCAAGGCAAATATTTTAATTGGAGCTATGCTTAAGCTAAGTCGGGAAGAATTCTGCAATTTGAGGTCCCCCGACCACCCACACTTCGGGCATCCGGTTTGAGAACGAAAACGCCAAAGGGGCTCGCGGGACCGTCGAGGTGGTTGTCGTTGTAGTTGTCGTGGTCGTAGTTGTAGTTGTCGTAGTGGTGGTAGTGGTAGTTGTTGTCGTGGTCGTAGTGGTAGTCGTCGTTGTAGTTGTGGTCGTCGTTGTAGTGGTGGTGGTGGTGGTCGTAGTCGTTGTGGTAGTAGTGGTCGTAGTCGTTGTGGTAGTAGTGGTCGTGGTCGTTGTGGTAGTAGTGGTCGTCTAGGATCCAAATCTTAAGGTTACGACCAAGCCCAACCGATGTAGTAGTGGTGGGATCGGGCGGAACGGCCGCGTGTTCCCATCCGCCCAGACAGATCGGCTTCGGCCCTTCCTTCGGCTGATCCCTTGTCGAACATCCGCCTTCTTTCTCGATGAACCGGTCGAATTCGCAGTTCAGCCACAGTGTCTTGTTGCGGACCTGAAACCGAGAAGAATTCCATACCACCGAGTGAGATATCATTACCATGATAGGCGAATGGTTGTCGCAAAGCGTACCGGGGGTCACGGGGCAGTGGCAGAGAGCATTCTGAAACAGAGGGAGCTAGAGAGAGAGAGAGAGAGAGAGAGAGAGAGAGGTGACACCTACATCGGCAGCCGATCGCTGCGCAGAATCCCTGACGACGAAGCAAGCGAGAGGTCGACCCGGATCTTTCGGGCATTCGGCTTTTCCATCCTAAAAAAGCTTTGATAACTTTGACAGAACCGGGCCGGACAGGTTTAGATCTCCCAAATATGCGCCCCACTTTTACCAAATTCGCATGTTAATGTATAAAAAAACCTCTTGAGCATGAGCAGCGGGAAGGTGCGCGGCGAGGAGCAGCAGAGCCCAGATGAGCATCGATTCTCGAAGCATCCTCACGACCGTCGTCGTGAATAGGACGAATTCGTATGATGCTTTGGTGTAGGGAAACCAATTTTCTGCCAAACTTTTAATGCAAATCATGGGCAACTTCCGATAGTGTTATGCTAATTTTGTTGGGATTGAAATGTTTGGAAATGAAAGGTTAGGTTACAGTTTGATGGTTTTTTACGAAAATCGCTACTTATGGATTCTTGCGCCTTTTCTGGCCGCCCAACGACCGTTTTTCCAGAGCTGTTTGCGAAACATGTGTTAGATAGTGCCTAAGCCGGTTTTTGACAATAAGGTTGTCCTTTTTGCACGACGGATTTGGAAATTTCGAAAATCGGAATCTCGTGCTGAATCGCCTTTTTCGAGAGCTCTCGATAGTTACCTAAGTCATAGAAATTGGACGTGTCTGTGATGTGGTCCATGGGGGGAGGGGATTTTTGGGACACTCTGTCTATCGGTGTGTACCTTGATACCCCGTTTGGTTTTTTGGTTTGCGTTGATGCAATAAAGCATTATGATGATTTATCCATTTACTCTCAATAAAAGAATCCTGCCTTCAAACTGATGTTTTATAGGCGATACCGCTGGTTTGAATCTTGCAAGCTACCTGGCAGTGACCACCTTTCTTCCTCCGGATCCTGACTTTGGACGGACGGCCGGTAACTGGGCTTCTTCGCGGACAGTCTTTTGAAACATCTTAAAAAGTTGTTTCCGCAACACTCCATTAAGTACGATGCCGATCCAAGCCTCGCTCAGCGTCGAGACATCCGAGCAGACATTTAGCTAAAAGAAAAAAGTCTTAACCACCGTTTAGTCTCATTTGTTGGTTTTTTTTAGGTATCAGACCGTTCACACCTACCAGAAATGTCTGCATTTCGGCATCGAGTATCAATTTGCCACGATAAAGCTAAAAAACGGACTAACTGGACCTAAAAACCCTACCAGAAATAGCATCGATCCTATCTGTGGGGCCAGAGTTCCGAAGCAAACCAAAATCAAATGCATTTTGACGTTTTGGTAGAATGAGCTGCTAGAGATATAGCTATTGGTTACGGCCTTTACTTGGAAGCGCACCTAGTTTGACGGTGTCGTAAATACACAACTTTTACAAGAGTCCCGGCACATATACTCAATGATAAAAGCGGATATATCTGACTAGTCAGGCGGATTATATAGGTGCTGTTGGCGACTTGCTAAATCATAGCCTTCATATGATTTTTTTCTTGTTCGAATGATATATGGGTTTCAAAATCTTGGCTGTCCAATTACTGTGTTCTCGGATTCGCGAAAAAGTGAGGTAAACATACAGAATAGGTATCCCGGATCGACGGTGGCATAACTTCCCACTTTCACAAAAATATTGGATACGAAAGGGATCTGATAGCAGAATGCGTGACCAAAAAAGAAGTATGAGAACGGTGGCCACCAGGATTTTCTTGGTTGACCAGATCTGAAAATACTCAACGATGGCTTTTACGGTACAGAGGATAAAATATCGTAACGGTACAGCATAATCGGTGTAAATAAGATGGCGGGCGCTCAAAGTTTTTCATATAAAAATATTTTTAATTATGGTTTTTGACTTATAAAAATGCTTTTAGTATATTTATTCAAATGGCTTTTCAGTATATCGAAAATATTCACAGCGCCGAACGAAGTTTTTACGATAAAAACCTTTTATATTACATTTTTTCGTCCTGAAACTCATTCACTTGGCATTCTATTTGAGGTTCTTTCGATTCGTTTTTTAATCTTTTGTTGAGTTTTGAAAATATAAAAAAACTTGAAGGTTTGGCTTCCTCAGGTGCTGCGATGGATTATGATTAATTTTTCTTTATTCAATAAAGAATTTCTCTTACATTTTTCGTGGTGAAATTAATTGTTTTGGCAAATTTTTCGACGCTCTTTTGGATATTGATTATCGATTTGAGACCCCACCAAAACGTAGTATTGAAATTATAATGTACTTACGCCTATTCAAGATTAAACCTTTTCCTTTTTACCTGCCTATGGTACACCGGCATCCACACAATGGTGAATCGATTCAAATGCAGCAGAATCACGGTCAGATTTTGGCAATGGAACGACGCGGTTTGCCATAGGTAGCAATATCGAAATGGGACGAATCGCCGCTCAATTCCCGGGTATATATCGGCCATGAAGTCGAATTCACGGAATTTGATGGTTATATAAGTGTTCAGGTAGGCGGCTAGGTACTAAACAAATAAAATTAGCTTAGAAAATTCTTTAAAATCTGCGCCGTAACCTTACCACAACCAGCACCAGCAAATAAACTTTGTAAAAAGAACTGTACAGAACCGCCCGGTTTCGGATTATACAAATAATTACTAGCACCAGTAATAATAGCGATGGAATACCGTAAGATAAGTAGGTCAGAAAAAAGGATAGCATTGGACGTCGCAACTATCCGAAATATGAGTAATGACAGCGAGCAGACCGAACCGTTTCAGGAGAAAAAGTCGTGCATAACAACGCTTCAATTAAGGTTCGTGTACTTGCTGGACAAACAGCGAATTACGTGTGCGGTAATCCACAATTTTCGTAGAGGCTTTTTAGGGGATCAGGGTGCGTTCGGCAGGTTTGAAGCAATAATTACGCCATTCCCCGGAGAGCATCCAAAGTATTTGAGATGTTCAAACAATCAGGAAGCTTGTGGAGATGTGTTTTCAGTCATATCACGAGGAGTCGAGAGAGAGAGAGAGAGAGAGAGATAGAGAGAGAGAGAGAGATAGAGAGAGAGAGAGAGCGGGAGAGGGAGAGGGAGAGGGAGAGGGAGAGGGAGGAGGGAAAGAGACTTGCTCAAGGCAATAGAAATAAAGAACTTGTGAAAGTTGCTCTTTCAAATCTAAACAAAGATGTAATAGATCGACAGCAAGCCTGCAGCCGGCGCTTTTCGAAACGAAAATGATCTCAATACAGGGTGTCCCAAAAAAAAGTACCCCCTTCTAGCGGCACGCAGTCGTGTCCGATTGTCACGATTGAGGTATCTATGAAAGCTCTCAAAAAGGCGAAAAAATATGGAAGGTTCATTTTCTTTCTTATGTATTTTTATTTGCGCATTTTACCTCCAAAAACCATGAAAACCACTGATTTATGCAAGATTTGCATGCTAATTGCGAAATTCCTGTTGAAAATTTACCCTCTTTTTTGAAAAACGTTGTATGGCGATGAAATCAGCTGAAATATTAAAAAAAACCGCTTGTTTTCTCGTCTTTTCGAGAGCTTTCGAATGGTGTAAAAATCAGCCCGATCCGAGCTTCCTCCGCCCTGCTAAAGGGGGGTACTTGTTGGGACACCCCTGTAGTTTTGGACCTTTTACGTCAATAATGCTGAATAAAAAAAAATACATGATTCACTACACCGTTCCGTGACTTTTCACTTTTCACAACCACCACTTTTTGCATTCTGCGGCATTTAACAGTTCTTAAGAGTTTTTTTCTGGGTACACTTGGCCTACCCCATCTCACCCCCTTGCCAATTTTTTGGCCAGGTGTGGCCTTGCCTTGCCCCGGGCATCCTGACCAGCCCTTTTTCCATCCTCCATGTCGAGGTTTAGATCGCGTAATCGAAGCCCTGGCAACATACGCGACCCGCGCTTTGAACGTTTTTATCCAAATTTTCTTATTTTTTGATCTTTCTTTAATTAAATAGCTAGTTAAACATTTCCAAACGAGAGTTCTGCAAACTCATTTTCACTGAGACTGAAAATTCATTGTTTATTTTTCAAATTTTACCCCTTAGGTTGAAGCATTCAGATTCTAAAAAGTAGATTCTTATGTTAGCTAAAACTTTTATCTTTAGTTTCATGAAAAACAATGAGTAACGGCCAAAATTTTTCTAGTAGCTGACATTTTTTGGTCTTCGTTTTCAAATATGCAATCTGTTGGTTGAAAAAATTGCTGTATTTGAAGGGAAATTTCAGATCCATGGCTTCTCAAAAATTCCCACCCTGCCTGTTGCCGAGGACCGCCGTTTGCCCACTGGTGCTTAGTAACGGAGCCGTCTATATCGTATCTGGTAGGTTTTTATACAAAATCGAAGTCCTTCAAGGGATCGGCCACTTCATTGAATTCCACAAACCCGAGGACGACCACAGCTTGCCGCCTAATGTTTCGCGGCAAAAGCTGGTTAAAATTTTCGATGACTCCCAGGAGATTACGCAGATAATCCAATGGGGAACGAAAGCTGGTAGGAGAACAATATCAAGTTCCGTTTTATTGAATTTTAGAGCCTAAGCTTGTCATAATATCGCGCTGCCTTAAATATACAGTACTTGATAAGCTGGAAACGATTTTTGCGAACCTTGAGAGGTATATTTTTGCTCTTGTATGCGTAGAAGCTAGAAGAGCATTTTGCAAAGGATTGGACAAGGTTCGGATTCACAATTTTTCAGCGGCGACCATGCAATACCCTGCAATAAAATCAAGCAATTCACGCGGGACTCCTACAAATCACGCGAATTTCCGCTCAACGCCGCTTTCGTCGTCGACGGGACGAAGCTCACGGTACGTTGGTAAATTGCCAAAAGATCCAAATCCGTTTTCAGCTTGCCGCGCCCAATAAGCTACTACAAATCGATCTTCTGGATCCGAGCCCAAAACAACTTGACCCTCCATTATTTAACGCGTGAGTTAATTGTTAGCTTTAATTTGCGATCCAATTTACAGGCGAAGAGTTACGTTTTACATATCTTCCACTTCGGAGGATAACTTTGCCTTTTACGTCCAGGGCTCGGACGAAATAATTTATGTATCTATCAACCCAAAAGCTCGAAAAAGTTTCCCTTGGCGGCCGGTTTGTCGATTTTTACCGTATCGGAATAATTGCACTTTTAGGCCAACGCCGCGTCAATCAACGGCTGGGATATGCTGCTCTATAGGAATCAGTTACTGATAGCCACGATGGATAGGCTTGTCTATTTGAATGTGGAAAGCGGAGTGGTGCGTTTTTGGCGCGCATTCTGATAAATTTCGCTTAAATAGGAGAATTTACGTTGCCGCCGCGTCTTTCTTGATAAATTTAAGCACCTTGCAGATGCACGATGTACAAATTTACGATTCTGGGGCAGACGTCGCGGTTCCGAATCGCCATCTCAGCTATTCTCTGTGGAAAAAGGCCAAAGATACCATCTCTAATGCATTGGCTACTTACTTCGTCACGGTCAACGGTAGAGGTTTTAAATGCGTTTTAAATCATTTTTAGCCAGTGACAACGCAAGTAGCGTATCAGTTAAAGCGACACTTCGATCAATGCCGATTTTTCAGAAGTGGTGTTGCAGTACTCCATAGACGCGGATAAATTGTTGTTCGTAAGGATGTTTTCCCCGGGCGTCGGCCGGATACATTCATGTAGTTGTCGAGGGGCGGCCGCCAAGGTACAGATAATTCCGTGAACTTTTTACTTTCCTGCAGCCGATTGGCGGCACATTTGGCGGACTCGCGCTCATCAAGCCCGGAGGCTACAAGCACGATGCGCAATGTACATACGAAGTAATTAATCCGGCAATTTCCGCTGCATCGGTACATTCGTCGGTACGTCAAATATACATTTTCTAAGATGTAAATTACTGACCGCCTTTGAAAGCCTCAAAACATGTCTCCTTGTAAAAATTTCAGCAAACACTGCTCGTCAAAATGCTTTCGGGCCGGAGGTTTCCGGTTGGGTATGTCATAAGCTGCTCGGCGTACCGCGGTATTAATGAAGCAGAAACCTTGACGTTTTGTGTATTGTCAAAGATTTTGCTAACGATTTTCAAAACCATCATGCTTTTCAGGCGCGCTCCTGGCCTTGGTGCCGTTATGTTGCAATATTCGTTGCTGCTAAGAGTAACAGTGGAACGTGTGCTGGACTACAATATCCGGCAGAGAAGCTACCTGTTTCTCCTGAAAAATGGCTTGATCGGTATTGCAACTCATCGGAGAAACTCGAGCGGTCTCGAGATGGGAGGTGCGACAGGCTTATCTATCCTATGATTGAGTTTCTGCAGAGGGAATTGAGATATTGAGGCAAACGCCACGCGAATACTTCGCCGGTTATAGTTACCACCTTCCAACAGTGCATTACTTCGACAATCCCAGGTACCACCCTCATTGCCAGTCTAGCAAGATGTTCAGCCGGGACGCTCTATTTGATCACCCTTGTATATTGTCCTCGATAATAGGGCGTGAGGACTACGAATTCACAGTAAGCTTTACGAATAACTTAGTTGACGCGAAAGATATCTTGTATTAATATGATTGATACGTCAAATGTGCGCTAACTACTTCGAAAGCGAATCTGAGGAGAAGGAGCAACAAGGGGGGAAGGGTCTTATTGTTAGGCCACATATGATACGTTCTTAGGTGCGTAATGGTCCTGAGCTGACTGCACACACATAACATTTTATAAAATCCTCTACAGGGTTTCCCAAAAGAAATCGACTCCCCTCTAGCGGGCCGCAGTCATGTCCGATTGTGACGATTAAGGTATCTATCGAAAGCTCACGAAAAGGCGAGAAAACAAGCACTTTTCGTTTTTCAAGATAACTTGTTTAATTCACTAAATTTGGGACCAAAATCCATGAAACGGCAAATTTTATGCAAAATCAGCATGACGACGCTGATTTTACTCTTTTCTGAGTAATCGTTAAATATCAAGCGCGGGCTGAAAAATTTTGTAAAACGAAAAGCGCTTGTTTTCTCGCCGTTTCAAGGGCTTTCGAATGATGTAAAAATCATCCCGATCCGACTTTCGTCCGGACCGCTGGAGGGGGGGGGGGTCGATTTTTTTTGGGATACCCTGTCTTTTCTACTTCAATTCAAGTTTTTTTGAAAATTTCTGGCTTCTTCTCTGTTAGGAATTAAAAGGCCGTCCGCCAGTCACTCGAACTGTTCCCATTATGGCTTGGCACAGTTTTTTTTCGACCCTATTTTTATGATAGATCTGAAAGAGCGTGGCCGAATTAGTAGGGCTGCATAGTTTTGAAAGTTTAAAAAGTTGATTTTTGGGGTTTAAAGGGCCGTTAAAGTTGCCGACATCGAAAACCTATCTCGAAAATCACTGGACCAAATTTGCCGAAAATTTGTGACAATACCTAATTTGGGATGGAGATGATTTCTCTAATACATTTCAAAACTTGAAAATGGCCGGAACATAGGAATCTTGCGTACTAAAAACAGTTTTTTAAGATTTTCTATTTAATGGGAAATCGGCGGCATCCTGAAAGTAACATAGAAAAATGCGCCAAATTTTTTTACATCGTATGATGTGTCTTTTAGGATGCCGCCGTTTTCCCATCATCTAGAAAAGTCGTGATCTCTGGAATGAACAAAAGTGGCCTTAGAAGATCGGGGGCTGAGAATGAGAAATATAACGGATTGCGGAAAGCATCTAGAGATCAATGCCACCCATTATCAAAAAAGAGCAAAATTAAATTCTTAATCTACGCGATGTTGAGTACGGAGGGGAATCGAACCCGCGATGGTCCACCTGGGAGGCTCTGGGGACAGAGGCTAGAGGGCGCCGCCACCTCCCAGGCGAACGACCCGAGTTCAATCCCAGCCCCCTTTCAGAAACCGAATTTCTTTTTGCTCTTTTTTGCAATTGACTTGGCTGCGCTTCTAGAAGCAAGTGTGTGACTCCCCGTTTGAAAACCTGGATATTTTTCTTTTTTTCATCAAGAAAATGCCGTTTTTACGGATGATGGGAAAACGGCGGCATCCTAAAAGACACATCATACGATGTAAAAAAATTTGGCGCATCTTTCTATGTTACTTTCAGGATGCCGCCGATTTCCCATTAAATAGAAAATCTTAAAAAACTGTTTTTGGTACGCGAGATTCCTATGTTCCGGCCATTTTCAAGTTTTGAAATGTATTAGAGAAATCATCTCCATCCCAAATTAGGTATTGTCACAAATTTTCAGCAAGTTTGGTCCAGTAACTTTCGAGATAGGTTTTCGATGTCGGCAACTTTAACGGCCCTTTAAACCCCAAAAATCAACTTTTTAAACTTTCAAAACTATATGGCCCCACTAATTCGATCATGCTCTATCCCATGACGTCAAAAAAAACAGGGTCGAAAAAAACTGTGCCAAGCCTATTTCGGTCCTGCCGCAAACGGCCTTTTAATTAGCATACGCCGGAAGTGGGGTAAAGCCTATAGAAATTACTGAGAGCGGCCTTTCCATTTTTTCTTATCGGAATCCGGGAATATCATGCAAAGTGGGGAATAGGGAGACGGGGCCAGGGTTGAAAAGTCGCGTAGCGGCTTTTCACCCCGGGTTAAGCGCTAAAAACATCCCCAACTTGAATTGGATGACAGAAAATACTGGAGAACAAACAAATAGTATACAAAAATTTTAGTACCATGATCAACGAGAGAATGTCTGCTACGAATGTGAATTGCCGGTGCAGCTCGAGTCCTTTCCGCTGCGAGAAATGAAAGCCGTTCAACTTTTATCGGCCAAGGGAGTCGTGCTGATCATGGCCTGGTTGTGAGTAAAGTTGTGGTCGGGTTACATGGTTTCCAAGGCTCGAACGGGTAAAATGCACGAAATGCGGGCGCAACCTTTGGGTCAATGCCAGGCCCGTAGGGGGGGGGGGTGAGCCGCCCTCCCCCACCCCGAAATCGGCCGAAGGTCGAAAAGTGAGGGGGACCCTGATGATTTTCATTTTCCAAAAATTTTTATTGCCGGGCTGTTTTTGGCGATTTTTAACACTATTTTTAGTATTATAAAACCCGTGTTTTCAAAAATTTTGCCTGCGGCGCTACATTTTTGGTTGATTTCGCAAAAAAATTTTTGCCCCCGAAATTTCGGGTTTGTTACGGCCCCGGTCAACGCTCCTTTTGATGGATAGGAAGCAGGATCTCGATTTACACAGGGTGTCCCAAAATAAATCGACCCCCCTGTAGCGGCTAGTCTAGCAGCCAGGAAAAGGGCAGGATCGAGATAATTTTTTACATTATTTGAAAGCTCTAGTAAATACGAAAAAACAACCGCTATTCATTTCACAAAGTTTTTCACCGCGCTCGATATAAAACAATTTCTTTAAAAAAAGCTTAACATCAGCGCTGCGCTGCTAGCTTTATCCGATGTGTACCTAGAAGACGTATGGATGTATATTATTTGCAAGACGTAGTAGATCGTGCGTAGCAGCTTCCAAACTTCCTTTTAGTGATGGGTTTCTCCACACGCCGATCGGCCACCACGAGGGCTGGGACTTCGTCAGCACGATTCGCTATTCCGGAACGCCCGTTGCGCACCAGTCAGTTTTGATTTTTGTTCTTCCAATGCCTTCCGACACTCTTCAGCCATTCAAAGGTCGTCGATCTGGTCTATAGGCCCGTGGATCAGGTTTTAATGTTGTTGCTTGGCAGCGGAACCGTGATCACCTTGAAGTGTCTGTTTGAGTCTGGTATTAGCTCCATGTTTACAAACCAGAAAACCCCATAGGAGAATTTCAAACTGTGCCGATCCGCTGGACTCAAAATAACTACATGTTTATCGCCAAGGCCTTGATCGCTGGAGATGATCTGGGGCAACTGGTCCTTGGCTATGGGCGTGGATTGAATCCGTATTGTAAATCTGTAGGTTCCATCCGTTAAAACAAAGAATAGGAAAATCAGAATAAACGTCAAAATTTTCAAATTTTGTTTGGCGGCAAAGCAGCGCTGGTCCAATTTAAAATGTGTGTTTCTGGGCTCAAGGCACAAGCTGCCCGATATTAGCTCGCAAATCATTTGCAAGACAGAAGCTCGGTCACTATTAGCTGTATATCACACATCGGGTATTTGGCATAGCAGAGACTTTAATGCAACTTTAGGCCCAAAGCTTTTAGGCAATTTCTTTGGTCCTATATGATGCGGAATCCGAACGCCTGGTCTTTGCTTCTGTAAAGAACTATGAGAAAGCGTTTGATTCTGAAAAAGCCCTGTTCGGCATGTAGGTTTCATTCCTTTGCTAACAATAAGGCTACTACTGGCACTTGCACTGGCAAGTCGAAGAAATGCTTTTAGACTTATCGGCACAGACGCTGTTAGTTCTTTCTACGGGGCAAAGGCGGACATCCATGTGGGCGCGGCTTTTTTCCCGGTCCAATCCGTTTAGGCCGGCTACAGTGAACCCCTTCCAAACACAGTAATGCTGAAGCGCCCGATAATTCAACAGCGAGTCGAAAAAATTGTCTCAGCGAATGCGGAACAACACGGGCTCACAATTGCAAGCAGTCTAAAAAGGAATTTAAATACATACTTTTAGCTAGTAGCCCTTGGAAGAAGGGCCTCGATCTTAGTGTACGACCCGACCTCCGGTAATATTTTGGGTTCTGGACGCTTGCGGGGGAACACTTTGTGTTTTAAGGCCCGGTTAATGATATCTTATGTATTGTTATGGTCTTTTTAGTTGTTTGATTGCAAGGAATATAATAGGAATATATGACAAAATATATAAAAAATTTTTGAAAATTCGAAAATGTTGACATTTTTCATACATTTTCGATAAGAAAATCAAAACCTTTCAAAAATTTCGAGGAATTGTTGAGATTTAGTTATAGGGCTGTACAGAATGGTTCCCCTCCCGCTAACAGTCCACAACGATATTTTGTGCCAACGTGCGCAAATGGGACGTATGATTTGAATACACAAAACCGGGTTGCAGAGACGATCGTCGACACCAACCACCACACTTGGGCCATGGAGTATTATGATGCAGCGTTTTTCACAGTAAGAGCTTCTTGTAAAAGGAAAATTCGTGTTGAGCCTGTGGTTGTGAAGGCACAATGCCATGGTAAACCTGCGGTACGGACCTATATGGTTTTGCTCGGGAGTGAGGGCGTAGAGGTTTTGGAGCTCATCCTGACTGGTTCTGAACATCGCGGTACCGGGGGGAAAGGTAATAAACTTACAAATACGCAATTGTCATTCCAGTAGACTATTTCCCGCGAATTATGATCTGGAAGCGGGCTGTATTAACAAAGCTGCTTTTTTCCGACAACTTCAAGAATATGCGGATATGCTCACGGCCAACGGTAGCGCCACAAACACATGAGCTCCTAAAGGAATGCGTGCCCGCAACAGGGCATGAGATGTTTTGGTGTGAAAAGCGTCTCGATGGCGACAGTACCGTGTTTTACGCCGGGTAGGGTTCCTCCTTTTCCTCGTTTCAAGCATTTTTTACAGAATAATCAAATTTGACCTTGACGGCATTGGGGCTACAATGAAGGAGTGGGAAACAACCAAATTGCCCGGCAATCACGTGTCGGCTCGAATGCAGGTATTTTGATGCCTTCAGCCGTCAGCAGGCATGCGCTCCTTTTGCCGAACATCACAACGCTCACTTTGCCTCTTCTTTCAGATATACTTCCACGGAGGCAACTTTCCCGGTGCTGTCATTATACAGGACGTTAAAGATCCAAAGACGGGACGCTTCTCCGAGGTATTGTGATAGCTCTAGCACTCGATTTGAGGTTGTGGTTCAGTTTGCCCCCCACAGCCGACCTCCACCTACCTTATCTCGGCTCC